CTGCTGTGCTGATGTGACCGTATTAAAAACTGACATCACTGAACTGGCTCATTAATTGGAGTTCTGCTGCAGAGAAGACCTCTACCTTGGCATCTACAGACCCTTGGCCAGAATAAGAACTGATGCCAGCCAAAATAGGTAAAAGTCACCTCAGGTGGCAAATGGAGTCCCCACATAGGAGTTTTAGAAACTGGGAAGCAGTGGACAAATGGAAACTGACCTAGAAGACCCAAGAAAGCCGAACCCAAATCCATAGTGGGGAAACCTGAAACCAACTCATTCAATCAAGGAGGCTCAAAAGGCTTAGGCACCACTGGAGGTGGGGTGAAGAGACCTAGCGTAAGAAAGAGTGGAGGTGTTTGTTGTCTCTGAAGGAGATAAAATAGAAGGTCTTTGGACCCAGTTTCATCAAACATCCATGAAAGCATAGGTATTTCGCCAAAAACAGATTACGTGATTTTATACAAGACAGATTACAGAAAGCCCTCTTCTCCACTCAGCTTTCAGAAAGCTGGCCAGACCTACTCCCCCTGGGTAGAAGATTGAAAAGATACAATGGACTGACTTTGGACATTCTCCAATAAATAGTTTATGTTGTAAACGAGTCTATGATGCAGCTCAAATTTTATAACCTCCATTCACACATTCAGAGCTTCCCACCAGCTTTTCGGTCCTCCACTCTGAATCATGAGCACACATCAAAGATTTCCAAATATCCTGAGGACAGCCTCTAACGTGTAAGAGAAAATGAAACAAGCAAGTGGGGAAACAACAATTTGGAGAAAACAAAAGCTATGCAAAAAGAAGAAAAAAAGTTTACCAAAAACTATCTTAATAGATGTAGAGAGATAAATGAAGATACTGGGATTTGCAGATACTAACTACTATATATAAAATAGATAAACAATAAGGTCCTACTGTCTAGCACAAGGAACTATATTCAACATCTTGTAATAACCTATGAAAAAATATAAACGGGAATACATGTATGTATAACTGAATCACTGTGCTGTACACCAGAAACTAGCACAACATTGTACATCGACTACACTTTGATTTATAATTTCTAAAAAAGAAGATACTGCATCCATGAAACAAGAATAAAGTGCTGTCTGCCAAGGAGGCAGAAGAATCAGTATCACTTACAAAAGCATCTCACTGTAACTGTCCACAAACAAGGTCTTCAGTGACGGCCGCCTCTGCAGGAAATACTGAATCTGCAGGTAAACAGAGTAAGATCCCACGAAAGGTTAAATGGTGAGCACCCAGAATGCTTCCTAAATGGCACCACGATGGACCACGGGAGTGCAATCAAAGCAAAGATAATGAAGACAGTGGAGCAGTGTGGGTCAGGCTAATGGAGTAATGTTATGTGACTCGATCAGGAAGATTTTTTTAAAATAGAGTGAAATTACAACTACACCTAGAAGTAAAGATGGGAAAGAAAACCACCAAAATGTTATCACTTGCTGTGCTTGAATGATGGGGTTGGGCAATTTTTTTTTCTTTCTAATTTGTGCTTTTTTCCCCTAATTTTCTTAAAGAAGTATGCATTATGGTAAAAAAATTATTTAACCAGCTTCCACTGAACTAACTAACCGGATTAACCAGTGCTCTTGTCTCCCTGAAAACATCCTGACAGTTGCCCATGGTGAATGCGCCTCTCCAAGACACCCACACGCTCCACTCTCTCCCACTGGCTAATCCTGTTTGCCGAGAGTGCTTCCTGCCCGCTGCACTTGATACTTTGGCTTTGTGCTTTACTATAATATAAACTATGAGCGTGAAAATAAAGACGGTTGCTTCTGTGAAGACAGAGCCCAATGATTTGGAAAGATTCCTTAAAGGTAAATTACTTTAAAAAAAAAAAGGTGTAGTTTAAAATAAAAGATGAAGGGGAAAGAAATCATAATAATCCCAAATTTCACATTCAGATCCCTTTGTACGTGCAACAGTGGTCCCACATATTTTAGAAGAATGGCCAAGGAACCTGCATGTTCCAGTTTTTAGTTAAAATAAAATGGTTCCAGTACACGTACAGACTGCTTTCGTTATTCTGAGCTTTAATGGACCCTTTCAATTAATTAAACAACTACCAGTCATGATCCTGTTTCTTCAGAGGCTCCCACTCTACTTCTGTAATTAAATATTACATTCAGTGGAGAGGTCTGACTGCCTGTGCTCAAGCATGAGCCCTGGGTCCGTGGGGACCCACCAGCAGACCCGCACCCCCTAAGCCATCAGTGCCTGGGGCTCTCGCCTTCCCCTGTGTGTCTCTAAGCTCCTCAAGCAGGGCCATTGTGTAGCCAATGAATTAAAAAGTGGGTGAGGACTGAGGGAGTCTTGGCTTTTTGTTTTGGTGACCACGGAAATTCGTCCGTGTGGGAAGGAATGCTTACCCCTCGGAAAAAAAAGTAGACTCCCCCTGATACAGAAATAATCTCTCCAGTGACTCGGAAGTAGTCCCCAACGGTGTGCTTCAGCTTAAAGGGAGGCTGCGAAGTGCAGAGAAGTTAGTGGTTCCATTCACTCATTCATTCATCCAACAAACAATTAACAGGTGCAAAGCCCTAAGATTTAGACCCAGCTCCTGGAGAGGCTCAGCCTCCAGCAGGAGAGAGAGACACAAATAAAGACATTGCATTATTATGGGGACACCTGCAGGGAGGCCCCTCTGTGGGACCAGATTCCCAAAGTGGCAGCCTTCAGGTGCCGAGAAGCACATCCCACTGTACTGTGCTGTCTCCCGGATGGCGGCCTAGCCTGGAGCTCTGTTTGGCTGGGAGGAGATGATGGCATCAGTGGCGGCACCCTTGCAGACCCAATGCCGTGTGCTTCCTGTTATTCCCACAGCCTATGGAGAACCCCTGGTCTCCCAGCACCATCAAGGTTTCCCACGGATGGTGGAGGGAGAGACACACATGTGTGTCATCCTTGTGTTTCAGTCATAGATCCCTAGACTGGGTTTCCTTTCAGTCTACCTACCATCCAACGATTCGTAAGCCCTAGCTCACTAGCTCGTCTCATTAGCATATGTCTCTTTTCTCTTAAAAGGAAGCCATTCGATAGCCTTAATAAGTGTACAGAAATCAGGTGTCACCTAACTAGGAAGCAAGGCAACCTGGAAATAAAGGCAGCAAGTTAAGTATCCGCATATTGAATGGAAAGGATTCAATTCAGAAACTCGAGGGAGTCCGTGGCTCCTGGTAGCAGAAAAAGTCTAGTCTTAGAGTATGTGTCCAGGGAATGAATAATATAGGAGAGAGTAAACAATAGTGGGCAGGTGAGCAGGATGGCAATGGGCCCAGCAGAGAGATGCTTCTGGAGCCCTAATTCCAGCATCCTGTCTAACCCAGTACCTCCGCTCTGCCATCAGGGACCGCAGCGACCGCAGGCGGAGCCTCAGAACCAGGAGGCTAAAGTTGGGGCTGAGAACAAGAGTGGGGCGTAGGACAGCCAGGAGAGGGAGGACTGAGTACAGGGCTCTGGGTCCCCAGGTGACCCTTCCACCTCTCTGGGGCCCAGGGTCTTGAGGTCTTACGGGAATGCCCACACCCTCCCCCTCTCCTCTCTGAGGCCTGTGCCTCGGGCGCACCGGGCCTTCCACTGGCCTGTAGTAGGCGGCCGTGGTGAAGATGATCATATACAAGCAGTAGACGAAGAAGTTGAAGTAGAAGATACGCTTGACGAATCTGTCCCACTTGTCCTGCAGGAGGCGGTTCAGCGGCTCCACCAAGAGCATGTCGTGGCGATTCTAAGAGGAACAAAGAGACGTGAGGCTCACTCCCTGAGCAGGACTGCCTGCAGCAGCTGCCCCAGGCGTTCCTACACCCACCTTCTGAGCTTAGCACCCTTGTCATGCAGTGAACAAGGGGTGGAACTGGACGAGTGACCCCAAAAGTGCCCCTGGCACCCAGGAGCCCACAAGTGTTGCCCAACATCCTATGCCCGTTCTCTCTAAGAACTCTCTTCCAAGAGCCTCCATCCTTGCTTATTTCCGCAGTAACGGGAAGAGGCTGGCGCAGGCGGAGCCTGGCATGAGGCTGCTCCAGGAGGGGATGAGGGCGGGCAGGCAGGGTCCTCTCAATTCTCATTCTCACATCGCCAGCCCTGAGTCAGACAGGTGATCCAGGCAGGAGTGGCAATTCCCTTCACAGGAGATTGCAGGGGACCAGGAAGGCTTTCCTGCTATGGGTGGGCCCAGTGCCTGAGATACCATCTTTACAAGAAATGGTTTGAGGCAAAAGTCTCCCATCCAGGAGATCTCAAAGTTCAAGTATCTCCAGGACATGGATAAGCCAAAATCAGCTCATCTTAGCCTTTTCAGGCCACTGAGGCCAACTCTGGCCCAAGCTTGAGCTCCCCCAGCAAAGTCCCTGTTCAGAGTCTTCTTGAAAATCTTTGGGGATGGGAAGCTCCCTGCTGCCTCAAGAAGCCTGTTGGGGAGATCTACTCTCTGGAGTAAAGTTGGTCTTCCCTGCTGTCCACCAGTGGTCCCTGCTCTGCACCCAGGAGCCCCCGTACCGTGTTCTGGCCCTTGAAAGCCTCTGGAGATGTAAAGATGGCAGCTGTGGCCCCAGAGCCCTCTCCTCTCTAGGTCAAACACCCTTGTCTCCTTTTTGAGGTTGTTTCCTACCTGGGCCAGCCCTCTGGGAACACTTGCCTCCGGGATACTGAGTCAGAGGTCTGGATCCAGCATGGCAGCCTTGGGGGCTGATGGGACAGAACAAAGCAGGCCAGGCCTCTCCCTCCCCAGGACTCTGCCCCTTGAGACATCATGGAGGTGGCCCCTCATCACCAACAGCACAGACTGCAGCCCCCAGAGCTGTCCTCAGGGCCTGGCACGTCTGGTACCTTAGAAAGAGGGGACAGGGACGGTGGCCTTTCAAAGCAGTGGAGGCTGGAGCCCCTTTTCATGAAGTAGCATTGGAACCCTCATTTGGAAACAAAAGAATTAAGTAAGACACCTACCTCACACCTACACAAAAATAAATTCCTGATAAATGTAAAAGCCAAACATAAAATACCTACAGAGGAGATAGATATAAACATTGGGGAATGTGCGTGTAATCTCAAAGTGGAAAAGGCTTTCCAATGCAAGACACAAGTCACAAACACTATGAAAGAAAAAGGCTAACTAATCTGATTCTCAAAATGAAACCCTTTCATACACAAGTGAAGTTAAACAGCAAGAGACAGACTAGGAGAAAATAAAATACTTGAAACATGCAACAGAGAAAGGACCAATTCATTTTACAGCAAGAGCATTACACATCAAAACGGGTGAGGCAAACAGCCCAGTAGAAGAGCTAGCAAAGGACAGGAAATGGACAGGAAATCTATCAAAGAAATATGAATGGTTCAAAACCTACGAAAAAATTTTCAACCTCACGGTAATCAAGAAAACAAGAATTAAGATATCAGTGAGATAGCATTTTTGGCTCCATGGACTCAAACTAGTTTAAAAAAAAAAATTGGTAACACCCAGGTTGGCAAGAACATTGGTAGGTGTGTCCCACTGTTGGTGGGCAAGTGCATTGATGTGATCTTTTGGAGGACATAATTTCTGACTTAGCAATTCCAATTCAAGGTATCTTTCATAGAAAAAATCAAACGCCTGACTAGTGTCCTGCAGCACTGTAGTAGCACCAAAAAAACACAAAAACCAAGAAACTGGAAATAACTCAAATGTCCTTCTACAGACATTTACTCCCCATCCAAATTGTGGAATACGTTGCAGTAATTTTTTTTAATAAAGCAGACCCATATATGCAGATGTAAAACTGTCGGCAAGACATGCCATTAAGTGAAAAAAGGATGTTCTATACTATATATAGTACAATCCCATTTACATAAGCAAAATGAAGCTACACGTTTTATATGGTACAAAAGGAGGATTCTTTTTTGGTCTATGGAATTTTGAAATATTTAGGTTTATATATATTATATATATTACATTATAATATTATATATTACATATTATATATATTATCACATATTGATTGCACGAGGAAGGAAAACACCTGGTGGGAATGAATGAGGAGATGAGGCTGCGGGTGTAAGCCCCGGGCAGCAGGCTTTTATTGATGGGAGGAGAGGCAGAGCCGGAGCAGGGGCTGGGGCTGGGGTGCAGTGAGACCAGAAGCCCTCCCTGGCTGGGTCCCAGCCCCGGCCCACTCACAGGGGTCTCATTGCTGCTGTAGGCGATCACCTCCAGCACTGAGTTCTTCTCGCAAGTGTCGATGCAGGACAGGTCGTACAGAGAGGAGTGCACAGGCCCGTAGGCCCACTCGGTGAACTTCCTGGACAGGTGCCTGCACTCAGGCTCCTGGATCTCCCTCTGGAGAATATAGGCCAAGACCTGCTCCAGGGGATACAAGAGCCCATTAGAGGCTCCACCGGCTCTGCTCCAGGAATAATTCTGCTTTCCAGCCCAATTGGAGACCCCACCCAAGCCCCAGGAGAGACCCACCCCCATCCAACAGCCTTGATCGTCATCAAGATCAACCTGCCCACTGCCTCAGATCCCAACTGCAGCCACATCAGACCCATCACCCGATCACACCGGCCCCCCTTCCCCCAGTTCTCCCATCTCACATGAAGGACTGCAGTGGTTCATTTTAGAAAACCTCAAGCCAGAAGGAAATTAAGAAAATCCAAGAAATAAAACCAAGGTTATAAAAACCAGACTTCTCATCCTAAGAGACTCAGTATGATCAGGGACAAATTCCTAGAATCCCCTGGTACAGAGAAGCCCCCTCCCCTCCAATTCCCAAATGCCAGCTCCACCATCACCCCACCCTTCCATGGCCTGACATCACCCACAGGCCTCCGTTTTGGCCTGCCCTACCCCAAACTCTCCCCTGAGGACTTCGTATCACCCCAAAGTCCTGTCTTCCATGGAAAAACACCAACAGCTCCTCCTCTGTTTCACCCTCAGCTCAACCCGTCCTCAGCCCCAGGCCCGAGCACCCTACCCCCAGCCCACGTCTTGGTGATGATGCTCAGAGTTGGAAATTAGAAACGGCCACGTGTGTGATGCTGGGTTCTGTCCAACGTCTCACAATTCCTCCCCCTTACTCTAATGCCCCCCGCCCTATCCCTCCAGGCTGGCGTGGCGGCACCAGGGCTCCACACACTGGTGATGCCAGAAGCTCGGTAAGGCAGGCAGTCCCCACAGCAGCCCCAGCTTAGGTGCAACGCCCCCTCCCTACCCCAATCTTCCCGCTCCTGGCAGCCAGAGCCAGCGGCGTCAGCTCCTTCTTGTTAGTGAGCTCCTCCAGCTTCAGCGTAGGGTGGAGTTTGGCCCCCAGGATCAGAATCTCATTGTACATGCTCGTCACAAACTTGGTGTTGTCAGGCGTGTTGTCAGCCACCTCCACCAGCGCGTGCAGCACCGTGTTGCCCACCGAGTCCCTGGCGCCGATGTCGGCTGGCTGCCAGGAGTTCTGCAGCAGGAACTTCACGATGCCCAACTGGTTGGTGCAGGCAGCCAGGGAGAGGGGCAGCTCACCTGCAGCCAAAACAGGCACACGGTGGGCCTCCCCAGGAAGAGACTGGCTTGGCCCCTGCACCACCTGGCCTCTGATTTCCTCTGTCCCCACCCTAAACATCCCCTTAGCAAGGGACAAAAAGTCAAGTGTATACCACATGGTCTCCCTACCAAAATAGAAGCCAGGCCGCCCTTTAGTTTTCTTAAAGAAGTCCCCATTGGCTGCAGCCTGGACATTGGCCCCATTCTCCACCAGGAGGGTCACCAGTGCCATGTTCCGCCTCTCGATGGCAATGTGCAGCGCCGTCTGGCCTATAGAGGAAGCAGGCTGTTGGCTTTTGCACTTGGAGTTCTGCAGGGGTACCCGGACAGGTGCTGGGGGAGGGCCTCGGCAGGAGGTACAGGATGACCACCCCCCTACCAGAGGAGGTGATTTGGTTCCCCAAGGAGGCCCAGGGAGTCCCTGAAGCAGTAGAGACCCCCAGGAACAGGGAATACCAGACTGGGGGCTGGAGGAATCAAAATTGCCCAAGGGCAAGGAGCAGTAGCAGAGAGGCAGGCCATGACCTTCAGGGACAAGGAGCACCAAGCCCGCAGAAGGGGAGACGGGACCCTCAGAACCAGAAGAATCCAAGCCAGCAGGTCGGGGAGGCAAGGGGCCTCCCCAGCACCAGGAGTTCCCTACTCAGCTGGGACAGGGGGAGAGGAGCTCAGAGGCTTGCCCGGGCGTGACGACGCCCTCCTGGCTCCAGGTGTGCTTGTGGGCAGAAGCGTGCTGGCCCCACCCTTCTCACCCTTGTAGTAGCTGTCCGTGTAGCTGGCGTTGACCAGCTCCTTCAGGCTGTCTGTCTGCCGGGCGATCTCCAGGAGAAGGGGGATGGTGTCGTTCTGCCCATCATGCAGGTTGAGCATGGCTTTCAGCAGACAGGTCTTCCCTGTCTCGGGGTCTGCAAGACAAAGCAAGGGTCAGAGCAGGCACCACAGCGGGGCCCCTTCCCGGAACCTGACGGTCTCCGGGCCACCTTTGAATTCGCTGTCCATGAGATGCTTCTTGCTCTTCTGCAGGAAGAGGAGCAGGCTCTCCAGCTCCTCGCAGTTATTCTGAGCAACCGCTTCAAAGATCTTCCTGCGATCGTAGAGCTTGAAGTTCTTCTCGGCAGTGACAGAGTCCTGGGACAGTTGCCTGTGGGCCAGAAAACACCCTCATCTCATCCTCTGGTTTCCCCCTTGGCCCTGAAGCCTTCAGAGCTTGGTAGAGAGCATGATTAAACCCCAAGGCAAACCAAAAGGGGGGAAAAACATGATACAAAACCCATGCCTCAGTCCAGGTGGCCAGCTAGGAAACTGATGTAACAGGGAACGTGTGCCCCTGTTCTGTCCCCACCCTATGTGCAGGCATCATCCAGAAATACTTTGCAACCACCACTTCCTCCAACACCCAGGCCACCCACTTCTCTGTTCGCTGAGGGGCTGGGGGAATCTGGAGGGGGTGCGGGCAGGGGTTGGGTTTGGCTGCCCTCTGCTAAGTGAAAAAGCACCCTCACACGGTCCCAGGAGTCAGCCAGCCCATGTGCAGCCCCTGTCTTGCCGTGGGGGAGGCGGGAGGGCTGGTGGGCTCTCTCACTGGAGCTGTTTTGTACTCTGTCTAAAAGCATCCTGTCCATGAGCTTTTCAGCTTGAAGTCTGCATGATTGGGACCAGTGAGCATCCTAAGCCTGGACTCAGAGATCAGCTGGCAGCTAGGATGAGCATATATGCCCGCGTGCATGACCACAGTCTCAAAGATCCTATGAGCACAAATGCTGGACCAGGCAACCTCTGGAACCCCCCGCCCCCACCAGCTCCCTGGCTCTATGACTTTCAGCACGTAAACTTGAGTATCATATGGTGTCTCCACGGCCAGAGTCTCAGCCAGCTGAGCCAGCTGAACTCCAGGTAGAGAGGGAGGCTGGGCTCCAGATGCAGCTTACCTGGCACAGGTGGGGCCATCTCCAGGCTTCTGGATGATGACAACAGGGCTGACTGTGATGGCCGGACAGAATGCCAATTGGGCTTCCGCATGAGAGCAGTCCATGAGAGACGCATCTACCGAGTCACCCTTTCCAAAGAGCCGGCTACGGCTCTTGGCCACAGGGAAGCTGTGGGGCTTGGCTGGAGATGGCCTGGAGTTAGGGTCTCCATCCAGGGGATCTGAGCTGGAGTCCTCTTGGGGCAGGTCCTCAGACTCCCCTGAATCTGAGCTCCCCCGTTTCTTCATCTTTGCCAAATCTTCTGTGGCCCAAGAGGCAGCCTGTGGACAGCCACCAAGATTGGGTTTGTTCCCAGCTTGAGGACTGCACAAGCCTAGCTTTGACATACCTTTGTTGCAAAGACCCCAGTGAAACACGATGCCCCAGAAGTCCAACAGCTGTTGCCCCTAGCCTCCCAGAAAGGAAGCTTTCAGGGTGCTGTATCTCCTACCCCCAAAGCCCCGGGAGAAGCAGGCCTAGCAGCTCCATAGCCATCGGCCTGCAGGGATGGATGGGTCCCCAGCTTGGAGCCATCAGGCTCTGAGGGACTTGGATGGACCACTCGCCTTCTCTGGGCCTCGGTTGCCCCATCGGCAGAGTGGAAATGATAACCACTGCTCTGCCTCCCTCCAAGATCAGAAAAAGGGAAACAGGAGGAGGGATGTGCATTCGGGAGGAACTCGGCACTGAGGACGGCTCAGCCCCAAAGAACCGAGCAGTCTGCATCCCTGGGAACAAGGTGGCCGGTAGAGACAGACACGCTGCGCGCACAGGCCCTCCTGTGCCAAGTGTCCCCACCATCAGCCTCACGCTTGTCTGCCTTTGCTCTTTGACCTGGCTGCTGCAATCGTTGAGTTTGCGGGGGACTTTTTATACTTTTGGTCACTTTTGTGAAATTGGTATATTTCAAGGATCCCGGCCCTGAACTTTGAGACTTTAAGTGATTCAGGGCTGGTTGGCCCTCCAGGCCTGAGCACTTGGAGTTACACTAGCAGCTAGTGCAGGCACCTCTGGCCATAAATTTGTGTTGATGCTGCTTTCCACTCCCTTCCAAACCCCTTTCCTACTCTTCCCCTCTATCCGGCTGGGCATCCCCACTCCCTGGTACCCAGGGCTGCCCCACATCTCAGGGACCTGGGCCTACATGGTGCCTCCACTTGGAGTGCTTTTCCTTCTTCTCCTCTTGCCCAAACCCTACCACCTCTCAGATGCCACATCCATGCTGATGCCACTTCCTCTTCGCCCCCAATTCCTGCACCAATCATGCTCCCTTCCCTCTCCAGGGTGGCCCAGCTCGCTTCGTCCATCCCCATGGCCCTCTTCACACCGTCCACCCTGCAGTCTAGAAATTTCTATCTGTCGTGGTTTTAGCTCCCCTCTGTCCTGTGAACTCCTCCTGGGCTGGGAGCATGCCTGATCCATCTCTTTATGAAAAAAGCTGTGCTGGGAAATGAACGAGATCAGGTACAGACCCTTCAAGCTCCCATTCCTACAGGACGTTAGATTCATGTTCCGGCAGTGGCTGGATTCCAGAAAACAGCCACTGAAGGAATGGGAGGCTTCTCAAGCCTGCTCTTTGGAGTGAAGGTTCAGGCAGTGAAAACTCAGAGCACGTGGCTGGGCCTCGGCAGTAAATCAGCTGCAATCTGATGCCTGGATCCACAGGGGAAAAACGGCAACCTCACCATTTTGCACCCCGTGAACAGGACAGACGCTGACTTCTGGCCCATTTCCCCTCCTGCCTGCTGTTCTGCTTTCAAGAGAATCTGAGTTTTTCTGATTCATCCATCAAGCGGAAACCCTGCCGCAGGGTGTGTTCCCAGCCACGGAAAGCCCCACTTCCAACCAACAAGCATGCACTTTATCACTCAGCACCCATCCACTGATCCTGCTGGTGCCCAGCCCTGTGCTGAGGGCACAGAGAGGATGGAGACCCCCTTTTGAGACAGAAACCAGTGCTAGCTGGGGTGGGGGGAACCACAGGAGGGTCCGGAGCACCGGAGAAGGCTTCACGGAGGACGTGACAGATGAGCTGGGCATAGAAGGGGAGCAGGACTGGGCTGGGACTAGGGGAGAGGATGGAGAGCCCCAGAGTCATGATAAAGAGGAAAGCCAGTGGGCTTGGAGGGACAGGTGGTGGGGTCGGAAGCAGATGGCTGTTGGCCTGGAATGCCAAGGAACGTTATTGCTAGGATGGCAGGAAGCCTTGAGAAGCTTCAGAGGCAGGGGCATGGGGTGCTAGTCTTTGCTTTCAGAAGATAACTTCCCATCAAGGACTGTTCATGGTATGGGGAGCCTGTGGAATGTACACGGCACAGGAGGTTAGTGAGAATGAGAGTAATTGATGTGTTTGAGCACTCGCCGTGCAAAGGAAAGCACTGTTCTAACGCTTGACACACACTCACTCACTTTATTCTCACCTGTCTCAGAGGTAAATATTTCACAGATGAGGAAACTTATGTTACCTCCCTGAGGTCACACGGTTAGTGAGAAATGGAACCTGCATTCAATTCCAAGCAGCCTGGTCCTGGTCCCAGAGCCTCTCCAGCGCTCTACCATCCCTCCGCAAGTCTCAGGGCTCTTTCTCAGCCACTAAGCTCAGCCCCAGACCACACACCAAGTCCTGAGGGCCAATTAGACCAGGCCCTCCCAGCCCTGGGGCCAGGCAGATGGAGACTAAGCCCTTCCACTCAGAAACCCCAATAAAAGCACCCTCCTGCTCAAAACAAGCATTCCTAGGAAGCTCAAAACCCCAAAACAAATAACGAATAAGGCCCAGGCCGCAAGCCGTGCCTGGCTCTCCCAGGAGTGTCTCCCCTTGAATAAGGCTGGCTGCAAAACCAAGAATAAACCTGCTCCCTGACTAGCAGCTTTAGCCCAACAAGAGAGCACCAGATAAGTGGGAGCCTCCATGAACTTTTCAGTGATGTTTTTTATAGCAGCTTTGCATCTTTCTGAGTGGTCCAAATCTAACAAAACCTAGTAAGCATGAAGCAGTCCACACAGTGCTATCAGTCAGTCAGTCAACAAACCCCAAATCTGCCCTGCAGGCCCTACACCTTATTTCCTACTAAAAACCAAGCTTCCCCCAGGGCAGAGGGTGCGACAGGGACTGAGAGGCCCTTTGCTCTCAGCTGGGAGAGTGAACAGGGATGGAAGTCTGCGCTGCCAGGCCTGGGATGTGTCCAGCATGTAAGCCCCACAGCAATGCATCTGTCAGAGCCAAACATTCTACAGAGATGGAGGAGTTTCTGACTGTGATTTGGGGTGTCTAATGGAGATGGTGGTTCTGTTTTACACAAGATTCGAAAACACCAATCTGGACCAAAGTATGATTCTAAGAAAACAACCCTGCCTGGCAAAGACCTGGTTTGGCCTCTGGGTCTTTATCAACTCCAGAGCCAGGAAAGACACTGCCTACCACCTGGGAGAAGCCTCCCTTCTTCTCTCCCCAAGTCCAGGTGAGACACCCTGGGGTGCGGATCTCCCACTCCCCTCACCACCCAAAGCATCCATCTGTCTCCAGCCTCCCTGCAGAAGAGCTGGTCCAGGACCCAGCCCTGATCATTCTCATCCTCTCATCTTACCTAAGCTTCTCCTAAAGAAGGATGGAGAGATGGGGAATTCCCAACCCACGGGAAGAGCCAGAGGAACCCTACCAAAAAAAGAGAGTGAAGCCTGGATAAGGACTCAGGGCTCCTGCCTGCCAGCCCTGCACTCCTTCACTCCAGAGAGGACCACATGCTGGATCCTCCAACCACAAACCATGAGCCTCTGCAGGAGCCACAGCCTTTTCGGCCCAGGATGACTCTAGCGCAAATAATTCACACTGATAACAGCCACCTCCACTATCACTTACCAAGTGCTGATGATTAGCCAGGCTAAGCGCACTTCAGCTCCGGCACCACTGAAGCCTCACCACAGCCTCTGAGGAAGCCACTGTTACTACCCCCAGGTTTCAGACGCAGGGGTAACTGAGATGCTGAGAGGCTAGTGGAACAGTCGGTAGCCACACTGATGGACAGAGGCAGGGCCCAGCTTTTGACGGCTCACTGTGCCATTTCTAAAAGTGAACATCTGCCTTGGCCATCCACCCAGGAAAGGGACTCACCAGCTAGATGTAGACACACTCCAGACCCAGTGGGTGCCGTGAGCTCCAAGGCTGTTCTACTTGAAGGGAGAGTTGGGCTGATGTGGCAGAAGAGGTGCCTCCCCTGCCTCCGCCGGGGTTCTCAGCCCCTCCCCAGGCCGTGGCCGCGCTCTGCACTGGCGGGGGATGGGCTGTGGGCGCGCTCGGGCACTCAAGGAAGACGCTTCCAGCAATGGTAGCAGCTGCTGTTGCTGAGGCTGTGATTCCCAGAGGATCCCAGAGCCTTTCCCATCATTTTTGCCCTTTTTCAGAAACCGCTTAGCCGCTGCCCCTCCTCCAACCATGCCAGGGCCGCAGTGCACTTAGCCACATGCTGCCAAGAACCAGCCAGAGAGGTGACCTCAGCTCTCAAGGACAGAGGGTGCTGCTCAGGCCTCCCAAACTCACCGCTCTTGCAGATGGGGTAGTCGGGGGAAAGAGCTCAACAGATGCACTTTCACAACCAGAGGTGTAAAATCTGGCGCCCTGAAACTGTTCCGTTTTCAAAATGCAGAAGGAACAGGGAGGGTAGTGGCACCCACCATGCAGTCCTGGCCTGGCATCTAGGGACCTCCCGGTTTGGAGTGCTGGCTTTGCCATCAACTCTGTGTGACCTTGACCCAGTCCTTTCCTCTCTTGGGCCTCCCCCTCCCTGTGTCCCCAAATCTGTGGCAGGGCTGGTGGTGGGGGCACTTCTGGGTCTGCCAGGTCCCAGTGTTTCTCAACTGGGGTTTCTCACAGAGCCACAGAACCCAGAAAATGACGGGGGTTTATTTTTTCATGACTCCTAGTATGATCCTAAAGGCACAGGAGAAAAGTTGATTCATCACATCCAATAGAGCTTAATTCCCTCCAGGAACCTGGCTAAGTCCCCAGGGTCTTTCTGGGTATGCACACAGACTGCAGCCCAAAGTGCCTGTAGAAGCTGTCCTAAAAGCTGCCCATTGGAACGCTATAGGACTCCAGCAAGCCTCAGGTCAGACACAGCCTGAAACGAACAGCCAAACGTCAGAAAAGCCCACCATAGCCCTGCCCGGAGTAGCTCACAAGGCCTGGCCCCTGCATCAGGCATCAAAGTGCAGACCCTGCACAGATCTCACGTGATTCTCTACAGTTTACAAAGTGCTTTCACCAAGCCACTCTCCCTGGCCACACAACAACCCTGGGCAGTGGAGGGGGTCACAGATGGGTTGTACCCACTTTACAGATGAGAAACCTGGGACACCTAGCAATTAGATGATTGCCCGGCTCCCACTGCTGGTCTGGCATGGAAGCTACGCCCATCCCACCATGTCCGCCGCTTGGACAACTTTTTATATATGTGTCATTTTGGCTTCAATTAAAATGAAACTTGAAATTCATCCTTTTTTTTTAATTGTGGTAAAATACATATAACATAAAAGTTACCATTTTATACAACAAACTAGTGGATTAAACAAAAAAAGAAGCAGACTCACAGATTCAGAGAACAAACTAGTGGTTACCAGTGGCGCAAGGAAAAGGGGACGGGGCCAGATAGATTTTTTTTTAACATTTTTTATTGATTTATAATCATTTTACAATGTTGTGTCAAATTCCAGTGTTCAGCAC